CTGGACCCTGAGATATTTAGAATGAGTCTTTGGATTTGAAAAGCAAAGAGATGCCTTCAGTGTTTTGGACGAAGAGACAAAGATAGACTGTTAACAGCCCAAAGGGGTGAGTTACCACGGGCTAGTTTTTCATAGGACTGGTCATATGGTCATATGGCCCCCCTCTTCTCTGGGGGCCATAGTTTGAATATGTTCCCTGTCGGTATCTGGATAGTGTTCACTTAGTGTCCAGTCAGGGACTCGGTGGGCCTGTCACCGCCATCTCCTGTTGGGTGAGTGCTTCGTTCAGCACCGAAAGTCCCATCCTCAGTGTTCTCGTGGCTCAGGCCACCCTCTGGCCCATCAAAGGGGTCAGGGCTGGGTTAGGCTGGTGGGAGACAGTGCCGGGGAGAACCAACTGCTGCTGTCTGTGCTATTCTTGTTGGTCGGATAAATAAAGGAGTTCAGATTCCAGGGCTGCTGAACCGGCTTCCAGAGGCACCAGATTCATTTGCAGTAATTTCCTGTCAACAATGCACATTTAGGGATAATACATACCCAGCCAGACTCATTAGTCCCAGAGGTGATTGCGTACACTACCTACTTGAAAAAAGTCTATGTATTATACTTTTTAAAGTGACATCCAGGGGCCTTTCAGAGTGGGTTAGATTTATTGAGCACATTTGATGCATTAGCTCGTTTAACCCTCACAACGACTGAATGAGGTAGGCACTAATATTATCTTCTTTGGAGGGTGTTCTTTTTGCCCCTCATGAGAGGGGCACCTGCTGGGGAATGAAACGGAGAGGTGGATGTTGGACTAGTGCAGGGAAGCTTTTCAAAGGAAGTGATGTTTAAGCCGAATTTTAAAGAACTTGTAAGAATTAGCCAGAGGGATAAAGCATTGCAGCAAAAGCCTGCGTGAGAGCATGCACACTACGTTCAGGAAACTGTGGGCGTGTCTGGTGTGGAGAAAGATGGGGTTGGTGGCCCCATGGAGCCCTGGGTGGTGTTGGATGGAGTATCGGGGGGGAGGATCCTCTGGTCTCCACAGAGAAGGGGCTTTCCTCTCATCCTCAGGCTTCTAAATTTACAGGAAAACCTCTTTCCCAGCCACAAAACAATTTTTAATAAGTCTAAGGCAAAATTAAAAGGGTAGTTTCTGTTTCTTGTAGGCGCAAACTAGAGCACTTAGAGGAAAACGATGGGTCCCTGAGAGCCTTGTTTGTGGGCTGAATAGACAGGTGGAAAGTTTGGGCCCCCATTGATGATACCACCTTTTTGGCCCCATCTCTATACAAGCGCATTATTTTGGAACATCAGGAATGCTGGGGGGTTGTATTCTAAGTCTGGAGAAGGACGTAGGGTAAGATCTCACCATTAATGTCAATGTCCACTCCCAATTTTCCTGCAGCTCTGCTGTGTGCATGCACCAGCTGCCTACAGACCAACTACACGTGTGAGACGGATGGGGCCTGCATGGTTTCCATTTTCAACCTGGACGGGATGGAGCACCACGTGCGCACCTGCATCCCCAAAGTGGAGCTGGTCCCCGCTGGGAAGCCCTTCTACTGCCTGAGCTCCGAGGATCTGCGCAACACGCACTGCTGCTACACCGACTTCTGCAACAAGATCGACTTGAGGGTGCCCAGCGGTGAGTGGACACCCTTGTTGGACTATTGGCTCATCGTGGAGGTAGGGCACCCCTGTTGTTTCATCCTTCTCTACTCTGCCCCAATCCCTTTGTTTGGTGATAGGTAAAGGTACCTTTTTGATGCCCCCCCACGAGGTGACATGGGATGGGATTCCTCCCAAGTCCAGTTTGTTTATGTCAAGGATGAGGGAGACATTGTCCAGTGGGTCGCAGACACAAAAGCTGTGTTTGGGGCGTGGCTGAGCAGCTGTCGCAGCCAGGGAAGAGCCAGGCAGGGGTCCCCGCGGGAGGGTCTGGGGCTGATCCCGAAGGGGGCAGCCCCACAGCGGTGAGGGAAGCTTCTGACGTGATGGTGACAGCAAAATGCGAAGAGGAACTAGAACTGGGAAAGAAGGACGGTAATCAAGGCCTGAAAGTATTCTGTACCACCCTTCGCAAATCTGCCATTTAGGAGGTGTGACTGGGGAGGTCAGAGGAGAAGGGGCCGTGCTTGAAGAGGCCGTCACACACATGGGAGAGTAGAAGCCGGCTTGTGCCTGCGGCGCTGCGGTGGGAACAGCACCACGAAGTGCTGAGAAATTATGAAGCAGGTTATGGGTTTGACAGTTGAAAAGGGCGCCTTCGCTAGAGAGATATGCATTGAGAGCATCAAGGCAGACAGACTAGCCAGTCAGACCTGCAAGGTGAAAGACACCTTGAATACAGAGGGAGGAGCTGGGGGTCAGCGAGGCTGCAGCGTTCCCTTGTTTTTACTCTCTCTTCTTCCCCTCTCCTCTCTCACCTGACCCAGGTCACCTCAAGGAGCCCGAGCACCCCTCCATGTGGGGCCCCGTGGAGCTGGTGGGCATTATTGCCGGCCCGGTGTTCCTCCTGTTTCTCATCATCGTCATTGTTTTCCTTGTCATTAACTATCATCAGCGCGTCTATCACAACCGTCAGAGGCTGGACATGGAGGACCCCTCGTGTGAGATGTGTCTCTCCAAAGACAAGACGCTCCAGGACCTCGTCTATGACCTCTCCACGTCAGGGTCTGGCTCAGGTACTGCCTCCTTCAGGCCTCGTGTCTGTTGTTAGCCTTCATCCCTGTCTCCCAGCAGGATGGAGCCTGCAGGAGGAAGGCTGGCCATTTGGTTTCATGATTCTCCTTCTTTTGGAGTCTGACACGTAATAAGATAAGGTAATGGATTCACAGAAAATCTTTCCTTCTCTGGAATTCCAAAGGTCAGGTGCAGAACCCTCCATTCCACAATCCCTGCTCTCTCTGAGTCTTGTAACCGTACAGCTATTAAAATTCACCTGGTTCCACCTGAGCAGTGGCGTGCTCAGTTTCAGGGCCCCTTTGGAGAAACAGGAGTGTGCCAGGTTCCTGTGAGGTGGTGGCAGCTAATCATTGATCTGCGAGCAACCGCAAAGGGAGTTTAAGGACACAGAGTAAACCCGAGAGCCAGGGCTGGATGAATCATTGACCTGCACCGGTTGCCCGGGGGTTTTCTGGTGGCGGTTAAAATAAATGCAACTGGGCCTTCCAGCGTGCCATCAGCACCACTTCCGGGGCTGCCTGTTGTTAACTGAGTCTTCTTAGGTGGTGGAATTGAACAAAACACTGGACCTTAATGTGAGACTAGAATTTAGGATAAAGGGAGTTGGGTCGTTCCAGTCTCAGGGTAGAGCTCAGCTGGCTGTTAGGTGTGGCTCTGGCTGCAAGAGGGTCTCTTTATGAAGATAAACAATTATTTTAGTGACAGTGATATTTCTGTTCTTGTAGAAAAAACTCATCCACCAAGGTCATTCTTGCCACCCTAGCTAAAAGAAACAATCGTATTTATGAGAATTTTGTGTGTGTTTGTGTATGTTTTCTTGCCAGGTGGCAAGACTATTCTGTAGGGAAATTATGCCATCAGTCATGGCCAGACATCCCTCCTTGAGCACAGGAATACTTTGAGCTCTGACATCTCCTGAATTTCCGTGGTTTTGCCTTTATTAAGCTCTGCAGTAGAGAGTGCCAAAATGATGGATATATTTAAAAGCTGCATATTTTTAGGAAGAGAGCAAATATATGGCTCGTTCTTTGCTGAAAGAGGGTAGGGCAGTGGTTAGAACTGACTGGCTCTGTGACTTGACTTGCTGCCAGAGGAGGGTAGCTCAGATTTTTCAGAGTCTTTTTTAAGGTCAGGACTAGCTGAGATTAGGGAAGGCCCAGGGCAGTTGCCTAGTCATCTGGAGTAACGTGACTAATGACTCGTTCTCTCTGGATGGTTTCATCCATTCTTAATTCAGAATATGCAGAGTTTCCAAGGTGTTGGGGCTTTAATTCTGTGGACTTGCTGCTTATGTGACTCTCAGTTCACACTAATAAGTGTGAACTGTCTGGGTGATGGAGGGTAAACAAGATGGGAAAGAGGCCAAGCCAGGGTCGGATAGAAGGGGCGGGGACTGTGGGAAGGGTCTTCCTCCAGAGGAGGTCGTGTCTCAAGGGGTCTTGAAGACTGAGTTGGAAGTTTCGAGAGCGGTAAAAGGGCAGGGAACATTTCAGGCCAAGGAAAAAACCTTAAGCAAAAGAAGGACAGAAAGGCGTGAGAGTTCACCAAGTGTTTAGCGACCAATCCTAACACCACCGAGTGTTAGGGACATGTGGTGCCCACACTGGGGGTGGGAGCCAGGGGCCCGGGTGGGAAGCAGTCGGGTGCCTGCTTTACCTGGTGAGGTGAGAGGCATCTACTGAAGGTTTTCGTGTGAGACAGTGCATGTCCATGTTTTCCTGTGGAAGGAATTCTGGCGTGATATGGAGGGTGAATTCATTCATTTACCAACCTCCTGATGGGGAGAGTGGGATGAGGTGGGGCTGTGCGTGAGTGTGCAGGGCTGAAGCCCCATGAGGTAGGGGCAGAAAGAGCAGTTGGAAGTCTTCTAAAGAAGGGTTGGAGCGAGGACAGGCATGGAGGGCATGGAGGGGAGGGGGCTGATTTGAGAAACTTTCTGGTGGTTCTATGCTGTTGTAGTTAAAAGCATGAATTTAGGAGTCAGTCCTAGATTTTGATCCCGGCCTTGCCATTTACTGCTTGTATGAATGCGAATGAGTTACGTGACCTTCCCCTTTGAGCCTTAGTCGTCTCATTTGTAAAATGGGGATAATAACAGTACCTACCTTTATGGGTGGTTGTGAGGAAATGAGGTAATTTATGCAGTGCCCTTAGCAGGGTGCCCAGTGCACAGTAAGCACACAGTCAGCAACTTAGGGAGTAATAACACAGTTATCTGTTTGGTCAAGGGGAATGAGGGAGTTAAGATGGTGTGGGTGACCGGTTAGATAGGGAGACACTCACTGCATAAGTCAAAGAGGCAGTAAATGGGTCCTATAAAGACAGTGAAATTAATCTTAGAATAAGCATGAGTAGTCCCGAGTTCTTCGTCTGGAGCTCCCTCCCTGGAGCTTCCTCCTGTGTGAACAGAACTTTGATCTTTTTGGAGAGAGGTAGGAACCTTGGGTGCCCCACCAGTTTGGGTTTCATGGGCCACGCAGCACTGCCCTCTAGTGGCCAATGAGCAGAGCGGCTTCCCCATAAAGCAGATGTGGGTGGATTGGCCCACAAGAAGCTGGCTGAAGAGCTGATAAATCCTGTCAGACATTTACATTCAATCTACCATTCATACTAAATGAGAGGAGAAATTGCTTAGATGAGGAACAGCTAATTGTGTACATTTCCCTTTCTGTGTTCACTCACTCTCAGTGTTGCCCGGCTTAGTCCTCTGGTGGGTTACCTGGACATGGTACAGGGACAGCCACAGCTTTCCGTGGTCAGTGGACCAGTGTAGAATGGAGGCACTGTGATGAGGGCTTTTCCAGTGTGGCAGTGAGAGTGGGAGTTGCAAAGTTCAGCAAATACACAATGTCAGCTTTCTTTCCATTCTTTTATCCACAGGGTTGCCCCTTTTTGTCCAACGCACAGTGGCCCGAACCATCGTTCTACAGGAGATTATTGGCAAGGGCCGGTTTGGAGAAGTGTGGCGCGGCCGCTGGAGGGGTGGTGATGTGGCCGTGAAAATATTCTCTTCTCGTGAAGAACGGTCTTGGTTCCGGGAAGCAGAGATATACCAGACAGTCATGCTGCGCCATGAAAACATCCTTGGGTTTATTGCCGCTGACAATAAAGGTAAAGGGCTAGGTCTGGATACGGGTGTCCCTGAGTCAGCAGTTGTCTCAGATGGAGGGGTGACTGGGGAGACTAAAGAGCTGTGGGACAGCACAGCTCTGTTTGCCTTCATAGTTATCCCCCATTGAAAGAGACTCTGAATATAAGACAGTGACTGTCAAACTCTTCTGCTGCGAAAGGTTATACAGAAACCCAGGTTATTAAGCAAGTAAATAAGCAGTTATTAGATAAATAAGATAAACCCTCGACCTGCCTGCTCACTTTCCCTTTGGCGATACTCCTAAACCCACCCCTGGGGTAGTCCCTGTAGGGGCTCCAGTAAATTTACCTTGAAAACAACTGGAATGAAGAAATGCAACTTCAAGCCCTGCCAAGAAAGGCGAGCCCCAGAAAAGCATGTGGTCCTCGCTCTGCGATTGACCAGTGTCATACACACTATTGCAGTGGAGCAGGCCCTGCAGAGCAACGGCCTGCCTCCCGCCAAGGGCTCCCCCGTGGCCTTCAGGTTCAGCTTTTGGTCCGCTTGTAGCTGAGTTTCCTTCTTTCCTCCTCCCTTGCTCTGCTGACTTTGCTTTAGTTTTTGAATCACTCTTGTATGCTCGGGCATGTATGTGCTCATTTGTAAGGACCTTGCTGACTAGCAAAGAGACGAGCAAACTGACGGTTGATTATAGGAAGTAAACAACAGCTGTTCTAGTGAAGACTCGGGGTGAGACGGGGGTCATGGAGGTCATACCTGAGCTTGATTGAGGTGAAGGTGGCAGGAGCTGGTCAGAAAGAAAAACCAGTGAGAAGGGCACTCCAGAAACATGTGCAGAGGTGCAGTATCCTTGGGAACCTGCAAGTGACTTGGGATGTTCCAGCCAAAGACGTGGGTGGAGAGGCGGTGGAGGCCAGATTAGGAAGGGCCTTTTTGAGAGGATTGTTTAATTCTGAGATAGTGAGTAGCTGAAATTTCATTCATTGGTTCAGTAATATTTATTGACTACTGCCTGGATCATCACATGTAAGAACAAGACACAGTCCCTGCCTTACAGCACCTGGGAAGAGGGGACAGCAGACACATACATGGGCAGGTAGCATACTTGAAGTTAAAATGGCATTTACATTTTAGAAGAGTGTCTCTGGCAGTCATGACACAATTTGCTCCGTGGTCCAGCGATTTTTAGAAGTTAGTGCTGATGAAGCCTGCGGACGATGCTAAGTGTTTATTTTTCCTTCCTAAAACAACAGCAGACTGCTCATTCCCCACATTGCTGTGGGGGTTTGTAGTGGCCTCAGCTGCCCCCAAGCTGAAGAGTCTTGGACTTTCATGCAAGGGAAGAAGGGGAAGAGAGCAGTCATTACTCCTCCTGAGTAGGCTGTTCCTTTTTAAAACAGCATCACCTTTTGATAACATTTAAATCTTAGAAATGTTTTAAAGGCTCAAAAGATGTCTTCCCTTTTAACTTACTGGCAGGGTCCTCAAGACTTCAGGGCTGATTGCGTGTAAGGGGGTGTGTTCGGTGGACCCCTCATTGGTAATCAAAGAATCCAAGGTTGGTGCTGTTCCAGGAGCCACTCCCTGTGTTGATTCTGGCAGCTTGTGTGAGCAGGATCTGGCTGTTGAAACCCACATCAGGGCCAAGGAAGAGAAAGATCGGACTCCTTTGTTCTTGTCTTTTTAACATATACTATAGTGTCCTGGAACTAGGGCCAGCCTGGAGTTTGGGAGATCTCAATCCAGTTTCCAATCTTCTTACTGCCAACAGCATAACCTAATTAGATTACCAGCTTTTGGTTTTTCTTTTTCTCCCTCCCTTCCTCCCAGCCCTCCTTCCCAGTGTACCCGGCACCCCCCACCTTGTACAAGAGTGTAGGCTCGCCACCTTCCGTTGCTCTTCTGGGGTAAGATGACCTCTCTGGAATACTTGGAAGTGTGGTCTTTGTGCATTGGAAAGCATTTTTGGCCTGGAATATGACAATGCACGAAGGAGCTCCTTTCTCCTCTCACAGAGAGCCTGATAAGAGCAGTGGACTTAAATGAAACACGACACATGAGACTAGGGCTGGGCCTGGGCCCTGTTCGAAGGGGCCTGGAGCCCAGAGGCCGACCTGCTGGCAAAGCCTTCCTTCTGGGCGGGGGTGGATGCCGCCAGTCATGGTTTTGATGAGCAAGTCTTGTCAGGATCAGAAGCAGTGCTGCAGTTGAAACAGATGATTTTTGTTTCTTTCCCTAAGCACGTGCTTCCTCTTCTTCTGCTTCGCATTTTAAATTTGGTGTAATAAGGGGGCGCTGTTCAGAGTCCTGCAGCCACCTACGAGAAATAAGGGAGCAGGTCTAAGAAAGACAGTCTGTCCTTCTGTCCTTCCTGGAGTCTGAAACTGTAGACAGCTGTGGATAGGACAGCACAGAGGGGTGTCAGGAGGTGTCGGGGGGAGTGTGCGAGGACCCGGGTTCGGGGGTCTGACTGGGGTTTACATCGTACAGACTCTTACTTTCCCACCTTGATCTTTTTGCTGGTGGCTGTGCCTTTCTGGAGCTTCTCTGTGGTTCTCTGCAGATAACGGCACCTGGACACAGCTGTGGCTCGTCTCAGACTATCATGAGCACGGCTCTCTGTTCGATTATCTGAACCGGTACACGGTGACGATTGAGGGGATGATTAAGCTGGCCCTGTCTGCCGCGAGTGGGCTGGCACACCTGCACATGGAGATCGTGGGGACCCAAGGTGAGTGAGCCAGCTGAGGGCTGGTCCCATCCCCAGTGAGCTCCCAGAGCTCCTCACAGAGAAAGCTGGAGCTGGGCCTCAGGAACTGTGGTCTTGTCTAGAAGAGAGGGGTTCAAGGGGAGGGTGTGGCTCAAGTGGTAGAGCACATGCTTAGCATGCACGAGGTCCTGGGTTCAATCCCCAGTACCTCCTCTAAAATTAAATAAACCTAATTATCTCCCCCCCAGCCAAAATAAAATAATTAAATAATACAATAATAAATAAATAAAATATTTTTTAAGAAAAAGAAAAAAAATGAGGAGAGGGGTTCGAGCTCCATTCGAGCAAGAACAAGAGGGGCCTATGCCTTCAGAGCTCTCCTGGGGGTGCTCTATAGTGGAAATGTTGGTTGGTTGTCCCCGATGGCCTGGTGTGGCTGTTGGTTGGGGAGCTGGTGTTAACTGAGTGATCATCTCAGACGCCCAAGGTTGCAGGTAAAGAGAGGAGACTGAGAAGACTGAATAAGCTACTGTACAAGCATCAGCTTTCGGCTTAGTGACTTCACGTGCTCCTCACTAGGGACAGCCTGGGGAGTTAGACACTGGGCTCCCCTGAGCTAGGAGGGTCTCCTGGGGGAAAAAGACCTTGAGTGTCCTTACTTGTTGACTGACATCAGCTCTCTGAGAGCTCCTGGCTCTTGGCACAGTGGCACGTTACTTCCTGCTGCCGGCTCAACCAGGGCACAGCTCTTCTTGCTGTGACAGAAAACCAACCATTCAAGGTGGACCCTGTTCCTAGGCTCTGCAGTGATAGTAGCCATCCTTACCTCCCTTGTTTGGTTCTGAGAACCTAGTCAGTGCTGGGGCTTTTCTCTGAAGGCCTCAGCAATCCCACATGGACTGTGTTAGCTCAGGGAAGGCGAGCAGCAGTGTTAATATCGTACTGTTAGCTAATACCCAGGGCCTTCTAAGCGCCTGACTTACCTACATTAATGCATTTAATCTTCACAACATTCTCATGAAGTGAGTGCTGGTGTTTAATCTCATTTTATGGATGAGAAGACCAGTGTATAGATGGGTTAAGTTGCATTTCCAGGATTACTGGGTTAGTGGGAGGCAAAGCCAGGACTCGAACCCACACAGTCTGGCTGCAGAGTCCTTGCTTTTAATGCTTCTACTGTCTCTCTTTACAGATCCACATTTGTTTGTTTGTTTGTTTGTTTGTTTTTTCTCTCTCTCTTCCAGGGAAGCCTGGAATTGCTCATCGAGACTTAAAGTCAAAGAACATCCTGGTGAAGAAAAATGGCATGTGTGCCATCGCAGACCTGGGCCTGGCTGTCCGTCATGACGCTGTCACTGACACCATTGACATTGCCCCCAACCAGAGGGTGGGAACCAAACGGTAGGGAGGCCTTGGGCCTCTGTCCTTGCCTCACCCGTGTACTGAGTGGCCCACGTGTGCCCTTACCCATCTGCACAGGGTGGGAGATGTAGTCCTGGCTCTCAGACAGCCAGAAGTTGAACTGAAGCCCTGCTCCCCACATTGGAAGGCCACACAGGTTGTATCGAGCAGATGTAAGAGCCAGGAGCACAGCTCCCTAGACCACATACCCAGAAGTGTTGGTGCATTGGGCGGGGAAGGCAGTGGATAAAGAGAACTGGGAGCAAGATTTGGAGGAGGAACAGGCACCAGGCTTGGCTTGAGGAGAAGGGAAAACATTGTGGTCTGAAGGAGCAGCCTGTGCAGGACCCCTGAGGAGGCAGGGGGCGTGTTTTTGCTTGGGGTTTAGAGAGCAGATTTGCCAAGCTAGAGCAGAGCTAGTCCAGGATGGAGGTTAGAGGCACCCTGCAGGATCATGGGCCTGCTTCCCACTTCAGACAGAAGGGAAGTAAGAAGTGAGGAACAGTGGTTACAGCTTGACTTCACAAGTTGGAAATGGAACTTTTCATTGGCTGGAAGAGGAGGTCTGTTTACCTGCTGAGTCTCTGCAAATGTAATTAAATGGTACTGCTGCTTTTTTCCCTTCCTTTTCACCGGAATGATTGCAGTTACCCAGGCCGCAGAGTGTGGGGCCTGAGGTGATCTGATTTGCCTTCCTGGGGGGAGCGGGGCGTGGCTCGGGCAGTACTAGCGAACTAACTGAGGGGAACGTTGATGACTGCCTAGAATGAGTTTTCGCTTCTCTGCACAAGTAAGATAACTGAAGAGGTTCAGACTGAAATTTAAACTCAGCCCATCACTGTGGCTGCATTCAGTAAAGTCCCAGACCCCAGTAGCAACCAGATATCATGTGCTGTTCCTGCTCTGTGAGCCACAGTACACATACCTCTGCCAGGAAATCAAAACATGCTTAAAATAAACCTTGACGGTTGAAAAACAGAGACAGAGATAAGAGTAGCCTAGTATCACCAAACCTGTGCTGTTCGCATTTAGATTTGAATCCAAAACTTGGGAGTTTGCAATAACAAGGATTAACCACTTCCTTCTTCCCAAGGGGCTCTCTTGGGGTGATGCTCTCCCACATTCAGGGGGCCCTTGAATCAGCACTTTTGACTCAAGACAGAAATCATCATTTTCTGTGTGTGATCACGTTTCCTTTGCTGCTGCAGATACATGGCCCCCGAAGTACTTGACGAAACTATCAACATGAAGCACTTCGATTCCTTTAAGTGTGCGGATATCTATGCCCTCGGGCTCGTGTATTGGGAGATTGCTCGAAGATGCAACTCTGGAGGTACCTTTCTTCTTGCGTCCTCTTGCTCCTGCCTCCCAGCCCAGCGTGCAGGACCACCCGAGGGTGCTAGTGTATTCCTGCCCCACTTCTCACAGCCTGTCAGAGGCCTAGTGCCAGAGCCCGTGACGCTCTGAGTTCTCATCAAAGCGGGTCAGCAGTGGGGCCTGGAGCAGCCTTGCTGAGGGTGTGTGTTTACTCTTGGGACCAGCTTGTTGAATAGTGTTTTATGTTGTGACCATTCCAGAGGCTCATTTAGGTTTGTTTTTTTTTTTAAACACATTGTCTGTTTTGTCTGTGGAGACTGGGAAAGCCCTGGGCAGGAATAGCACAGGACTAATATAAGGGTCTCCTTTGCACAGGAGGCAGGGTATTCTAACACTGGCTCTCAAGCTCCCTCAGAACATGGTGTCTCATAGATAAAATAATAGTAGTAGTTTTGCAGTTTGTGGGAGAAAGCTTACTAATGCATAGAATTTTCTCATGACATGATGAGTTTTTTCCTCTGTAGTTTTTCCTTAACTCTTTGGCTTTTGCAACTGCTCAGCCATGTCAGAACCCCATGAAAGGTCGTATCCTATTTAGCAGAAAACATTTTTTTATCATTAGCTTAGTACATCAGAATTTAACAGTGACTTTCCAAGTGTTCTGCCACGTGATCGAGTTCTCGCTCCCCTAGAACCCTGCCCTCAGCCACTTGTCTCTGACGTCACAGATTCCAGGTCAGTGGGAGCGAATTAAATTTAATTAATTAATTAAGAAGAGCTGGTGAGCGCTCCCGCAGAGCCCTTTCCTATGCTGCTGCCTTTCTCCATCTCTGGTGTGTCTTGTAAGATCCCAAGTATGGAGGAGCAGCCAGGTATTTTCCATGGACTTGTACACCTTAAATTTTGATCATTGTATACAGATAAGACAGATCAAGATCAACCTGGCCACACAGGTCTTAAACTGTGAGCAAGTTAATTTTTTCTTTCTCTGTGGTATCTAGAAATTGGGGCTGAGTGCATACTAATAGTACTAATATTTGCTGAGTGCATACTAATAGTACTAATATTTATTCACCACTTGCCATGTATAAACTCATTTAATCTTTACTGCAAACCTATGAAGTGGGTCCTCTTATTGTCACCATTTTGCAGATGAAAAAAAGGAATCACAGAGAGAATGAGTGATTTGTCCAAGGTCACACAGCTAATGAACTAGGGTTGAGACTCTGGCAGACTGAGGCCAGAGTTTAAGCTAACTACTCCTTAGATAATTACCAAGTTCGACTCTATTTAAAAATTTGTCCCATCAGCTCAGGACAGCAGAATTTTTTCTGGAAAAAGGCCTGAGAAAGTTACATTGGGTTTTTTAAATTAACTTTTGATTGTGGAAAATATTTCAGTTTGTAGCTCCAAAAGATAAGGACTTCAAAAATATCCTTTTATCACACTTTAAAAAAGAGACAATAATTTTTAATGTCGTTTAATATTAGCCAGTGTCTCCTAATTTGTTTAAAAACAGCTTGTTAAATCAGCGTTCAGATAATATCCACCCACTGCAGCTGATTGATAGACCTCTTAAGTCTCTTATAATCTACCGGTTCCCCCTCCATTGTGTTTTATCTTCAGCATTTTTTTTTGGTTTGTTTGTTTGTTTGTTCATTTTTTAGTTGGAGAATCCAGGTTCTTTGTCCTGTAAGGTTCTCCTGTCTAGATTTCCTGAGTGCCTCTTCTTGGAGTTCACATGTCCTACTGTTTTGTGAATTTCTTATATAAGAGTTACATCTGAAGACTAGAATCATATTCCCCACCCCCCCCGATCCTTATGTTACAAGGCACATGTAAATGCAGTTGTCTCTGTGATGTTAGCAGCCATCGCTGGTCATTGTCTAAATCCAAATTTATTAGAGGTTGAAAAATGCTAATGTTCCAGTTCTGTCAGATTTTATGTACTTGCTAGATTTCTTCTTTAAAGAGGAATTTCCCCTAATTGTTTGGTTACCAAGATGTGTAGTTTGAATAGGAAAGGCAGAAAAAATATTTCATTCTTTCCATGTATTTACCATTATTTAAAATAATGAGTTTATTCTGTATCATGCTACAGAAGTGGCTGAGGTTTTGGCTTATTTGTTTTCAGTGTCTTCATGAACTGGTGGACTTAAAATACTTGTTCCCACTGAAGTTATGTCTTCCTGTTGCTTAAATGTTCTCATCCTTGGTCAGTCGGGAGTTTTTCAGGTTGCTGCTTTCTGACATGACTGCAGTAGTCGTTGATGGTTTCCTTGTTTTTTGGTGTGAGGAAGATTCCTGGCTAATCTTGGGTGTCTCTGGTCCCGTACCTGGAGTTGCCCAAGCTCCCCCAGGAGCCCTCGTTCCTCTTACTGGAAAGCGGTACTTACAGATCACAACATGGGTGTTGTCGCTGGCTTTTGAGTAATCTCTTCCTTCTCTCAGTAACTCCGGTGGGTATTCTCTGTTCTCCCAGGAGTCCACGAAGAATATCAGCTCCCATATTATGACTTAGTGCCCTCTGACCCTTCCATCGAGGAGATGCGGAAGGTCGTGTGTGACCAGAAGCTACGTCCCAACATCCCCAACTGGTGGCAGAGTTATGAGGTAAGGAGCACCCTCTCTCCTGTGGCTTTCCCACCTGCCTGATTTCTCTACCTTGGAAAAACGTTTCCTGACCATGGGGCCAACCCCCGGGGGCCTCCCTGAGTGTGTCAATTACTACATACTGTTAAGTGCTATTGTGTTATATACGGATCCCCGAGGGACTGCCGCCCTTCTCCTGGACACTGTAGGATCCCCTTTGGAATTGACAGCCTAAAAGAAGAAAATGGCTTGGTCCCAGGATACAGATAAGAGGCAAAACAAAAAGAGACAGACTAATGCTGGGCATTGGTGGTTCAGTGGTAGAATTTCTCTCCTGTCAGAGACAGACTGAGTGGGAGCCGTTAAACCTGTCCAACTAGAAAAACAGCCCTGGAGCCACAGGGGTGAGCTGAGCTCTGTGGAAGAGTTACAGAGATGTCCACAGAGTGCGTGGAAGAATGAGGGTGGGACTCAGTGAAAAGATGGCTGTGAGGGAACTGGTCTTTCTGGAAACTCAGAAGTGAGGTTGGTATGGAGAATTTGGATTCGGGAGCCATGGCAGATGAAGTGGGGAGGGGGCGACATTCAGTGGAAGTAAGAGAAATAAGGACACATTTCTGATGTAGAATCCTAATAAACATGGAGTTGCAGGCGCTGGGGACGGGCCGGCTCGCTTGCAGAGAAGGACCCCCCACCTCTGCAGGCTGCGGAATCTGGTGGGGGCGGGCAGGGAACAGGGTTTGCTTAAACTGGTGTGCGTGGGCCTCCTTTTAACTCATGGCTCTGCTTTAAGGAGTGTAACCACTAGGGGGCAGGTCTGCATTGAAGAACAAAACTACTTAGCTCGCATTTTAGCGATGCCTTCTCTTTGCATAACAGAGCAGCATTTTTCAAAATGTTCCTTGGAACCCTCAGTTAGAGTTTATTTACTTCAGAGGGTGAAAGAGGCCGAAAGAGCCGCCCCCGCCCCACTCCCTCTTCAGTCAATTTGAATGTTGGGACTCTGCTTAGGAAAATGTGGGCCCACTGCTGAAAGAAATCTGGAAATACTGGCCTGCGGCAGCTGTCAGGGGACTTGTAACCCACAGTAACCAGTAGCATCCACAGGTGACCGTCCAGGTCAGCCGCCTGGCCTGCCACGGTGGTGGCCTGTGCACTCAGGCCGTGGCGGTGAGCTGCTGTCTCTGGTGGGCCTGCCTCTCGGGGTCCGCCCCTCCTCCCTCAGCGCCCTTTCTGCCACTGGGCCACAGCCTCCTGCACAGCCCCAGTGCGCCCCTGCTGGTCCTGGTTCATTGGCTGCTTTTGAAAATAGTCAGTAAACAGTCATAAACGTGGGTACTCCAACCTTACTGAAAGGATTTTCTGGTCACAAGTGGTTGCAGGGATCTCTCAGGATTTCCCAGGCACTGGGGACCGCCGCCTGCTTGCAGAGAAGCCCCCCTGAAGGGAGGGAGAGACAAGGGGAGGGGGAGGCTCGCAGTGTTTCCCTGGGGTCCGGAGTAGGGCGGGTGGGGGATGCGTTATGACAGACTTCACACCGAGAAATAAAGAGGGGCCTGGGGTCTGACAGGCAGGCTGCATTGACACACCCGTCTGGTCTGTGTGTGCAGGCGCTGCGGGTGATGGGGAAGATGATGCGGGAGTGTTGGTACGCCAACGGCGCGGCCCGCCTGACTGCGCTGCGCATTAAGAAGACCTTGTCCCAGCTCAGCGTGCAGGAGGACGTGAAGATCTAGCTGCCCCGTCCCCGACACGCGGCCCTGGGCAGCGGGAACTGCGCGCCGAGCTGCCGTGCTCGCGTACGATGGAGGCCTACCTCTCGTTTCTGCCCAGCCCTCTGTGGCCAGGAGCCTGGCCCACAAGAGGGACAGAGCCCGGGAGACTCGCTCGCTCCCACGTTGGGTTTGAGACCCAGACCTTTTATATTTACCTCCTAGTGGCACGGAGCCTCTGAGAGCGAAATGGTGTGGAGAACTCAGTGCCACAACTCGGACCGGCTGTGGTGGGAAGCCCCGCAAAGCCCAGTGCCCCTGGCGAGTAGCCGAGTAGCCAGGCGTGGTGGCAGGTGGGCGGCCTGGGAGGGCCGGGAGGAGCTGGGCGCTGGTGCTAGGGCTTTCCTCCGGGACCAAGCCCAGCGCAGCGAGGCGGCCCAGAGGAACCAGAGGACGGCCCCTCCTCCCGCGCGACATCTGGAGGGACTGCCAGCGGAGGCAGAGTGCCGGCCGTCTGTCCAGCCCTGTGTGCATGTGCCGAGGTGCGTCCCCTGTCGTGCCTGGTCTGTGCCACGCCCTTACACATACGTGTGTGTGTGTGTGTGTGTGTGTGTGTGTGTGTTGTGGTGCGCACTTACCTGCTTGAGCTTTCTGTGCATGTGCAGGTCGGGGGTGTGGTCGTCATGCCTCTCTGCGTGCTGGTGCCTCTGTTCAGTAGTGAGCAGTGTCTAGTTTCCCTGGTGCCCTTCCCGGAGGTCTCCCTTCCCTCCCCTCCTTCCGGAACCCCCACGCCGCGGTGGTACTCCCTCCCCGGCAGGCTGCTCCGCCTGCCCCTGTGTCAGCCCGGCCCTCCTCCATTTCAGACTGTGGAACCAAAGCTGGCCCAGTTGTCCGAGGCAGGCGAGGCTTTTGGGTCCAAATGTGAGGGAGGCGGGTGGGATGGGCAGGGCAGGAATCTGGGTGGAAGTCTCGGGTGTTGTGGTCAGCGGCCACCGTGGGAAATGAGCCAGCCTAAGGGCATCGTCCTCAGCAGCGTCAAGGAAGGGCCAAGGTATTTGAAGCCCAGATCTTGGGACTTGGATTGGAATGTCACAACTGTCTTTCATATCCCAGATTCTGGAAACAGCAGTGTATATTTTTGGTGGTGGTGGGTTTAGGGTGGGGAAGGGAAGGGAGGACAAGGAGTGGGGGTGGAGTCTGGGGTGGGAGGGAGGCATCTGCATGGGTCTTTTACTGGATTATCTGATCACGGTGGAGGGAAGATGTGAGACTTGCATCTACTTCAGGGGCTTTACTAAAGGGAACAGCCCGAGCTGAACCTGTTATTTAACCTGAGTGTAGTATTTAACGACGTCTAGAAGCAAGGTTGTGGGTGGTGGTTTGGTCAGCATATCTTAGGTGTATAATAACTTTGAAGCCATAACTTAACTGGAGTGGTTTGGTTTTCTTTTTTTCTTTCTTTCTTTCTTTTTTTTTTAATTTTATTGGGAGGGTCTGGATTTTAACTTTTTTTTAAATATTGTTAAGTTTTTATAAAAGGAAAACCATCTCTATGTGATGATTACCTCTCAATCTATTTGTTTTTAAGGAAATCCCTGAAAAAATAACCACAAAAAAAAAATACTACAATCGAACGCACATAGCTCGATCACACTGGAAACGTCTGTCTCTGTACCTGAGCCTGTTCCCCCTACTCAGCATCACAAGTTCCTCTGCCCTGGGGGTTAGTCTGTCTTGCATCCTGCCTCCCCTCCCAGTTCTGTAAGTGGGTTTGCACTGGGGCCCTAGCCTTTTGTGCGTGGTCCAGTGGGCTGCACCTTCTCCAGGCATTGATTCAGCATTTGTTGGGTACCTGCTGGGAGATGGGAGCTGCCCTGGGCGTTGGGAATGCGTTTGTGAACAAGATAGGCTTGGGTCTGACTCTTGGAGCACTGACGATGGAACTGATGCAAGTTAGTGGGTGCTTATTTTGAGACCAGCAGTTTTGTAGTTGGTTCTGAGAGACTTTTGAGCCTGGAGTGATTGCTCTTACTAGACCACTGAGGAGCAAGGAAGCCCCTCTGTCCCCAACCAAAGAGGCTGGTGGTGGCAGTGAGACCCCCCCCCGAGTCACCGCATTCATCCTGAGCCCCTTCCCACCCCCAGGGGAGGCACAGTATATGTGCAGCCTCAGAGCATCCCTGCCTCGTGCCCAGCGATTCTCTGCCAAAGCTTTCGGAGGAGGGGGAGAGCCCTCTCCCCGCTTACATCGGTCTCCCCGGTACTCCTGGCCTTCCTATTTATTTTCCTGATGTATTGCTTCTTTCCTTGCATTAAAGGAGATCTTTCCCTAACTCTTTGGGCCAATTTACTGGCTACTGACGAATTTCCCTCGAATACCAATTGCGTAGTTAGGGGGACTTTCTTCCCCACCCCTGCTGACGCCCACCTGTCTGCCCTGCAGCAGAACTTGGCGGGTTATAGGAGACAGTGGAACTCAGACTCCTCTCCCCCAGCCACAACCAGCCTCTGGGATCTGCCACCACTCCTCATCCCGGGACTCCCAAGCCACTCTCCCACTCCCCAGGTGGCCCTGCTGTCCTCACCACACACTCCTCCTCCACCTCTGGGGAAGACTGAGCAGTGTTTTGGGAAGCTCCCAGCCCCACCACCGCCACTCTTAACCTAAAAGTTAGGAATGAGAGAGTGAGAGAGTTGGGGAGAACCTGAAGCTGTGGTTTTGGCCCCCTGAGGCTAACCCTGATCCATAGGGCTACCTGCACCTCTGGATTCTGGATTCACAGACCAAGTCCAAGCCCGTTCTTACGTCGCCATCAAGGCCCCCGAACGGCATTCTCGGTACTTCTGTTTGTTTTTGTACATTTTATTAGAAAGGACTGTAAAATAGCCACTTAGACACTTTACCTCTTCAGTATGCAAATGTAAATAAGTTGTAATATAGGAAATCTTTTGTTTTAATATAAGAATGAGCCTGTCCAATTTCTGCTGTACATTATTAAAGTTTTATTCACAGAGCTTTCCTGGTGCTGTCTGTTTTACATCTGTACACTGACCGCCCGTCCTCGTCAGGGGGGTTGGGCACGGGCTGATGTTCTGAGGTAGCCTCTCTCCCCGCCACTGGCCAGGGCTTGATGTTAACACCAGCTGCGGCAGATCACATCAGGAGAGGACCTGGTCGGAACATCTGGAGTCTTCCTGTGGCTGTTCCTCTGTGCTTCACAGAGGGAGGGCCTGCCGTGTGAGGGAGCAGAAGACAAACTCAGCGCCTTTCCTTGGGCTTTGTCTTTGTCTTTGAGCATTTTTCTCTTTATTCAAAAGAGGGTCTTGATCTTGGTTAAGTCACAAACCACCTCGTCTCAAAGGTAGCCTGAGCTCAGTTTTAGCTTTCCCTTCCTAAATGGGAGTAGAAATGAATTTGGGTAAGCTGAGGCAACTGAGATGGAGTCTTCAGTGCTTACTCTGGGACTTCCAGTGTGTGGGTGGCTGTGAATGTTCTTATGTCTCTAGGCCGAGGAACCCAAAAGAGAAAGTCCTAGAGTCATAGACTCTCTCAAGTTTAGATGGGACTCCAGAGGTCGCTTGGCCCACTACCCATCAGGCACTTGACTCCTGCACAGCATCCCTGCCGAGTGGTCTGGGGCCTCATGCCGTGACACTCTGGACCACGACCTCCACCTGCAGGCCATCTACTCAGTGGACAGCTCTTCCTTACGGAGAACTGGGCAGCCTCCCTGTGACCTCCATCCATAGGTGGTTCAGAGCACTTATTCTGTCTTCTGTATAAGATCCCTTAAAATACTTAAAGGCAGCTGTCATGTTATCATGAATCTGGCAAAGCTTAGAGTTTCTTCAGTTAATATTAGCAAATACTTATTAAAAACTTGCTGTGTGCTAAGCAATGTGCCAGAATAATTGGCTTTACATACATGAACTGCTTTTATCCTCAAAACAACACATGAGGTGGCCATTATTATCCTCTCTTTATGGATTAGATGATTAGAGAAGACAAATTGCCCATGTAATTCACAAGGGTGGAAAAAATCTGGGGTCCAGGATGTCTGAGCACAGACAGCAGCCTCTCAGCCTCTGCAACTCCTGCCTGCATGGTGCCGTGTTCTTCCCCAGTGCAGGCTGCTCTCTGCAGAATCTGGCTCGAACCTGGGGCCACAAAGGGCATGTAACATCCCATCCTGGCGTTCACTGACAACACAGACTGAAATGAGAGTCCTAGGCTGTTTGACACCCTCAGGTCACATCCCAGGACTGCACCTCTTGTCTTGGGTTGAGTAAAATCCAGCCCCTTTCCTCCATCCTGTATATGACAAGTTGGTATTTTGAACTCAAGTGTGGGACCTTATATGTTCACCCAGTTAAATTTTACCATAGAAATTGCCCATTGCTCTAGCCTATCAACATTTTAAAATTCTGATTGTTTGACCCAGAGTTTTCCATTGTCCTCCCATCTGAGACTGTTGGGCTGGAGAAAATCAAGTAACTTACCTCTAGAAGTTGGCTTTAAGTTTGGCATATATCCCAGTAACCCCGATTAGCTGCTAATTAAGTTGTCCTTGTACCCTGCCACAATTTTGTTACGGACAAAGATAACAGAAGTTCAAGTACCTTGCTGAAGTGGCAAGGTTTCCTTGTGGCTGCTGCATCTCTGATCTGTCTGTCGGAAGGAAAGGTAAAGTGGCTTGTAGTCGATTTCAACCCAGCTCAAAAGCCATCCTCTGAATAACCAGTCATCTTGCCAGATGTGGACCTAAAATTCACTAGGCTATGGATTACAGGTTCAGCTTTACCATTCTGAAAATCAGAAAGGCAACTGTTCTGGGACCTCTTCATGTGCCCTTGAAGGCTACTAACAACATTTCGTCTTTGTAAGGCCCACGACACAGGTGACCCGAATTCCTTTGAATGGTGTATCACTGGGCAGTTTGTTTCACACGCTTTAAATTTCTGTCCCCCTCCCCAGGCCATGTCTTCTTATCTTTACAGTCTGGAGAACATGCTTGCTAAATACAACCGAAACAAAATGAGGGGTAGAGGAGGAGAGTCCAAGAGACTTGCAGGAACATATGAGGGTTACATCATGAAGGTGGGAGGAGGGGAGAAAGCTTTGGATCAAGACAGGAGTGATTTATCAGAGTTCACCAGAGAAATGGAACTAATAGGGTGGATGGATAGATGAGATAGATGTATTTTAAGGAGTCGACCCACATGACTGTGGGGACTGGCAGGTCTGAAATTTACAGGGCAGGCTGACAGGCTGGCGACCTGGGGAAGAATTGATGTTGCAGTCTTGAGTCAGAGGGCAGTCTGGAAGCAGACCTTCCTCTTCTTCAGGAGACCTCAGTCTTTTAAGGCCTTCAGCTGATTAGATGAAGCCCACTACTTTATGGAGGGTACTCTGCTTTACTCCAAGTCTACTGATTTAAGTGTTAATCACTTCTAAAGTGTACCTTCACAGTAACATCCAGACTGGTTTAGCCAAAGCACTGGCACCATACTCTGAAAGGTGTTGGCCATCCCATGGCCAGACAGGATGGGACTCAAGGAATATGACAGATAGGCCTGGGTCCACCCAGGAATGCTCCTTGGAGGCCAAGGATGGGGGCTCACTGGGATAAGAAGGTTTAAGGAACCATTGGATGGACTGGCCTTAAATAGATTATCATTAAATAATAAGCATTTGTTAAGCGACCTTAGTGTGTAAAGCAGTAGGCAGAATACAAAGACGAGCAATCTGTGGTCCCTGCCTTTCAAGATGGAGAGAAAGGATTTGTACAGACAACATTAGGGCCGATTTTAGCAAGTCCCTTTAGAGAGAGGTACCTAATGTGTCACGAAAGCGCAGGTGAGGTGCCTGGAGGAAGAACGCCCTCCAGGGCTCCCTTGCCGGTGGGATGGATGAGTTAGTGAATAGATAATTACAGTGAAGTAAGTGCTGTGATAGGGGTAGACACAGAATGCTCTGGAAACACAGGACAGACAGGAGGAGGGGGCAAGAGAGGTGACATCTATTTTGGGGTAGGCCCTGGCCTGCTTACTGGGGAGGGAGGGGGTTTTGGTCAAAAAGAATGTGTCGGTATTTGAGAACCACAGGAGTTCCCAGGCTACAGTGAGGGAGCTGGGGGTGCACAGAGGAAATCTCTTAGACCTGTCATGTGCTGAGAAGTCAAGACTGTCCTGGGGGCCACCAGTGCCATCACTTCCCCTGTGACAGCTACCTCAGACTGTGCTAATCAGTAATTTTTCCTCTTGGGTCTGAACCTGATCTCCAGATTTTCCCCAAGAGCATCCTTATGTGGAGTTGTCCCATAAGTGAGCCCCTCTTTGCCCTTCCTGATGCAGGGAATGGGCCATTGACAGGTTTCGAGCAGGGGAGTGATGTGATCTTACTTGTGTTTGGGGAAGAACACAGTGCTGACTTGAGAAGGCGATTGCTGAGGTGGGAGAGCAGGAAAAGCTGGAGGAAAGGGAGAGACAGTGGGCAGGGTGCACAGGTTTGGGGCAAGGCCAGGTGCAAACAGTGAGGGAAAGAGAGAACCCAACTTCAGTTTGGAGTGAACGGGAGAATCTTGGCCTGGTGCAAGTCCCCTGGGAGAAGGAGCCAGAGCAGCTGTGTTTGCCAAGAGGGAGGAGAGCTGGGGAGTCTGGGGCCCTAAAAGCTGTCATTTTCTGTCCTAGCTCATCTGGACCTGTCTGAAATGAGGTGGGGTAAAATAACACATGCCCTGTGTCCTAGGAGTGGTGTGTGGATTCTGTAAGGAAAACTAGAGAGCGAACCCTTTCTCCCTTCTGCCAGTCTCACCTGTTCAAGCTGGGGATACCTTCCTATCCCACCTAGAAGGCAAGATGGTCCCTGGCTTCTGGCTGGGACTAGGCTCAGAGGCCACCCATATCCAACACAAACTGCCATATCCACCTTGCCCCTACTCTCAGACCCCCCAGAATTAGGTCTTTGGGCTGTGATGGACCCCCCCCACCCTTGCTGGGCCCCAGTGCCACACACAGATACTACCCTGTGGAAACTGTCGGGCAATAGGAACCATTAAGAAAAAGAACCACTCCCTGCCCCATCAGCTGCCCGCCAGCTGCCCAGGCCTGCCTCCGCGTCACGCAGCTGGGGCCCAGCCCCTCATTCCTGCCCAGAGAGCCAGCTGAGTTCCAGGCCCTCGCCCTCCCCCCTCCCACTCAGAAGCAGTGGCAACCCCGGAGAGGAGCCCCAGGGAACCGGTTAACCCCCACCCCCTGCAACCCCTAGTCCTGGGATGAAATGACTGAGCTAGAACTCTGACATTCACTTAGTTACCAGAGGGGCCTGGGCTTCTGGACCTCCTGCCCCAAGCGCGCCCCTACCTCCTGATGGAAGCCCAGAGCTTGAGCAGCCGGGTGAGGACAGGACTCAGGGGACCAGTGACTGTAAGGTATCTGGGCAAGGGCTTGTCTGAAAGCAAGGGGATCTTACCAGGCCTTGTCCATTAGTCGAGCACCCCCTGTCTGTGCCCCCGCCACAGGCCAAGTCCTGTATACCCTGAGAGCTAGGAACCAGGGCAGCTGGAATAAAAGGAATCAGAGTCTGGGGAGCTCATTCTGAAAGCCGGGGACTTGCTCAAGAATAAGGTACAGATTGAGTGCAGATGTCTGAGGAGCCAGAGCGATGGGGCTTTTGCAAGGAGGCTTCCAGGGGGAGGAGATCAGAGGGGGAGGTGTCCCAGTCTGAGACTGCAGGCAGCGTGCAGCATGCTTCCCCTACCGCCTGAGCCTGAAGAAGCTACAGAAGAAGATGGGATGAGGAGAACAGATGCTAGACAGGAGACTCGGGCTCGGGAGGAAGTCGTGGCAGGTTGGAAAAGGCAAAGCTTCAGGGGCCTTGTGTACTGTCAGGCTTGTGGAGGTTCCTGCATGGAGGAAGCCCACCAGCTGTCTGCCTTCTCCCTGAGTTTCACCTGCAGCAAGGCAGCACCGGCTTAGATCAAAAATACAACTTCCAAACAGGCATGAAATTCCAGAACTTGGTGACCAAAGTGGAGCTTGGTATCTCAGCTGAACACAGACCCTCTCGGGCAGGAGAGGAGCTCGGGGAGGGGTGGTCTTTAAACCCAGCTGGGATTCCAGACGGAGTCTGACACCAGCCAGACAGCCCTTCAGAGTCTGGTTTGAAGAGTTTCTGAGAAACTCCCAGCCACCAGAGGGCATCCCCACCCCACAGTGTGGCGTCCCGGGCTCCCCATCACCTCCCTGGAGAAACTAGGGAGATTGGGAGGAGGAAGCAGACACGGATTTCTGAGCTCTCAGGAGAGCTACCAGCAGCTGAACTAGTCTCCAGAGCCAGGAGACCTGGGCTCTAGGGGGTTCTAGTGGGTTCTAGCACCTGTTCTGCCGTCGTCTTTCCCTTCCTGGCTGGCCTCATTTGACCTCCTCTGTTAAATGAGGGCTTGGACCACACGGTGTCCTTTCCGGACCACAGGCTCTTTCTGGCTCTGAAATTCTAGGATTTGAGGAAACCATGCAATAAGCCTGACAGAAATTGCATCTCCTGGGCCCACTTTTACTCTGGGGTTCTCTAGGGCTCCCTGCCTGGCAGGAGGAGGAAACGTGTGTGGACTTCAGCTCTTTGGGGCTGTTCTCTCCCTTGGAGGCGGGGAGGCAGGCCAGCCTGGATACTGAGGGGAAGCCTCTGTCTCCACGTCAGCCTGAAGGAGGAATGTCTCAGCAGGGCTGGCAGACACAGGCGCTGGGACACCCTGGAGGATTACCTAAGGGACACCTTAGGTAACTCTCTGGGACAGGTGGGGTGGTGGTACAGAAGAGGCTGTACATGATGCCCTTTGGAGGGTCCCTTCAGGGAAAAATAAGCATTGGAGAGAAGAGGAGAGGAGAGGAGGGAAACCATCGCCTCTCCTGCATTTGCTCGTCTCCCCATCCCCACCCCCACCACAGATGCCGTCTGTCAGGATCAGGCAGCAGACGGTCCAGGGGTCCATCTGTGCTAATGCTTCACAATAGAGTCCCATGTTTCCCCACCAACACCCCCTCGGCCCCTCAGCTGATGGCCACTTGGTGGTGCCAAGGGAAAAGGTGGGAGGAGGGAGAGGAAGGCACTAAGGGAGCCAGCAGTCGGTTCCTGGCCGTCCCCAACCACCCCCTGTCCCCCACCCGACAGGCATCCTGCCATCTGGACTTGTGTAATCACTGCGGGGTAGAGAAGCACCCCCTCCCACCCACACCTCCTGTAGGGGCTGAGGCTCCAAGGGTCTGGGGGTGGGGAAGAGACAGAGTCAAGGGGACAGGGAAGAAAGGAGATGGAGACAGACCCATGGACTAAGAGAGGCAGGAGACAGAAAGCCTTTCCTGGCCTCCTCCCCAGGTTGATGGGCCACTAGCCCTTCTGTACTCTGCAGGCCACACATCTAACACAGTACATGTATGTGCACCACTCCCTACCTACCAAGAGCCTCTGTAACCCAGTGAGTACCTGGCCCAGAGCAGGGCTTAAACAGGGTGAATGAAGAAGGGCATCACAGTGGTTAGATTGCAGACTCTGCAACTGGGCTGCTCAGGTTTGAATTGGCTCTGCCACTGAGTGGCCTGGAGTAAGTTACTTAACTTTTCTGGGCCTCAGTTTCCTCTTCTGTAGGGGTGATAATGGTACCTGTTTCATAGCATTGTTAGGAAAACCACATAAGCTCATTTATGTACGTAAGAGCACACATAGAGCAGTGTGCACATCACATGGTAAATGCCCAATAAATGTCAGCTATGAAGGCATAACACAGATTTGGGAACACTGGAGGAGGGGACAGATGAGGACAGTGCATTCCTGGCTTCTGTTCAGTGGCAGACAACGGGATGCGGAGCCCCCAGCTTGTGCTGACGCCCTGTGGTGGCTGGACCATCTTTAGACGCCAGGCCTGGCTTTCCACTTCCTCCTCTTACTTCTTATTCAGCTGCCACTGAAGACAGAGACTTCAGCTGGGCCATTCCCACCTCTCCCATGGCCTGGCAGCCACGGACACCATCCCCCAACTCTGACTACCTGCTCAGCCCACATCTCCTTGTCATGAGTCAACCCCATAGTGAGGATCTGTCTGCTGAGAAAAGGGTACCTGAGCCCCAGCATCAGGAGCTGAGGAAAGGTTTACCCAGGAGGGACCATTCCTGACCTTCTGAGGGGACAGGCCAGAATTGTCCACTACTTTCTGGGTTTCCACCTCTTCTCTTTCCTCTTGACATGGGAAGAGGAGGCATGTCAAGCCTCTTCAACTCTTCTGGGACAGCTTTGTGAAGGGGAAATCCTGGGCCCTTTCACTCCCTAGTGGCTTCTGCCCAGTCAGTTCAGGCCATCTCTTCCCTCCCGTCAGGGATCTCACGCCTCCCCCTGCCTCCCTCTCCTTGCCTAAAGTCTCCTGTAGCCCCCTGGATCTCCTAGAATCTTACTCTGGGCCCTCAACCCTCCTTACAAGGACTCTTGCCGCCAGACTCCATGAATTTCCAAAGCCATCCATCCCTAACTCTTCCAATCTTGTGCACAAGCCCCTTCACAGGTATCGCCCCTCCCGCCCGCCCTCAGGTATCACGGAGACACCTATCCCGCCCGGTGATGCCCTGGGCCCCCTCCCTCTGCAGCTAGCTTTTTCCCCTGTTGAGTGCTGGGTGTCCAAGAGTTTCCTCAGCCTGGCCGGGCGTCCGGAGCTGTGGGCGGGGCTCCAGGGCATTGGCCACCCCCAGGGGGCGGGGCCTGCCGCGCTGCGGGCGAGTCCCTGAGAGGCCGCTCCCCTCCCGCCCCCAGAGCCCGCCCTGCTCTCCGAGCCTATAAATGGAGGGGACCCACCACCCGCCCGGCTGGCATCCTCCGGCAGGCGCCAGATCTGCCGCGTGGAGCGAGCGCCGCCTTCGAGGGGCGCCGGACGCAGGAGTCATGACCCTCCGCCGACTCAGGAAGCTGCAGCAGAAAGAGGAGGCGGCGGCAGCCCCGGACCCCGCCGCCCGGGCTCCCGACTCGGAAGCCGCTCCGATTCCGACCCCGACCGCGGCCCCCCCTGCTGCAGCCGCCAGCCCTGGGACCTCCGGGACGAGCTGTACGCGGCGCTGGAGGACTATCACCCGGCCGAGCTGTATCGCGCGCTCGCCGTGTCCGGGGGCACTCTGCCCCGCCGAAAGGTGCGTCCCCCCATCTCCCGGGGACCCTGGCCCTCGGTACCCTCCGGTGTCTCTTCCTCAGGACCCGCGTAACCCGCAACAGCCCCCATCCCTGCCTGCCGACCCCTATACCATTCTCCTGGGGTCTCATGCCTTCTCGCCTGGGAAGTCCGTGAGGAGCCGTGGACTCCGAAAGCTCACCCTTCCGAGTCCTCCTATTCCTCCCCAGCCCGCTGACCCCACGGACACGTTCAGATCCTGCTGGGTCCGCAAGCCTCCCCACCCGCGGCCCCGGCTCCACCTAGCCCCCGACCTGAGCGGCTCCACTCCCCACATCCCCCCTCCGGGTCTCGCCCCTCTCCATCCTGCCCCCGCTCCGGTCCCCTTCCCCTTGCCGCATCTAGTCTTCAGCACCCCAGCCCCGCCTCTCCCGCGTTCAGGTGTCTCGGGGTCCCCCGGGCCCCTCGACAGGGCTTCTCGTCCGAGGAGGCCTCGGACTGGGGTCTCTCCGCTCGCCCAGTCAAGTTGAGGGTCCGCGGGGCCGGGAAGGGGAGGAGGGCGGCCGGTGCGCCGCGTGCGTTCTCGCCTGGGAAGTGCGTGAGGAGCCGCGGACTCCGAGAGCTCACCCTTCCGAGGGGACGCCGGGATTCCTGGGCCCGGGGCCTGCACCTTGCCCGGTGTCTGAGGTGCGGGGTGAGAGGCCACCGCTCCCTGGAAGTCTGCCGCGACCGGACGCGGTGGGAGGGTCGCAGGGCGCCCGCGGGGCAGGAAGGATGCGGGCCGCGCCCGCCCTCCGAGGGGCTCTTCCTCTGGTCTGAGAGGGACCCGGGCGCTCAGAAAGGGGAACTCAAGACCCAGGTTAAAGAGAGGGGGCTGGTGGCCTTTCCCTACTCATCACCCCCTCCTCTTCCCCTGGCCCCTGGCTCCCCCCACACACAATGAACAGCTTGTTGAGAATTTGCATTTTATGAAAATCGCGTGGAAAGACAAAGGGGTCTCTCTGTGCTGCCCAGTCCTTCCTCCCTGGCCCGTTTGGGAACTGTCCCCACCCCTGACGCCAGTCTTTGGTTTTGGAGAAAGAGGGGCTCCCTTCTCTTCCTGATCTTGGGGCAGGGTTAACAAGGGCACTGCCACAAAGGCCCTGGGCTATTTGGGGCACATGGGACAAAGGCTGATCTGGGACCTGGCTTCTTCCAAGATCACTAATTTAGGGAAGGAGAGAGACTGCTTTAGTTTCTCAAGGACTCAAAGAGGTAGGAACACTCAGCTCTGCATGGTATCTCCCACACCAGCAAACAAACAGCAGCAAAACAAACAAACAAACAAAAACCTCCCAATCTCTTTCCTTAAGCATAGTGAGAGATTTAAGGACAAGTTTGAGATCTAAGGTTTTTTTTCATTTTTTGTCCCAGAAAGCGACAAAGTATATGGCAATGTTGAGAGACCCAGCTGGATCTGGGCACAGCTGGCCACTTGCAACTGGAATCCACAGTTGGTCCCTGAAACAGCCTGTACTTTGAGGGAGGAGGCTTGGCCCCTCTGTCCCCTGCCTTTCCATGTTCAGGCCGAGATTGCCAGCCCCACAGACTGGGGTCAGCTCCCCCAAGCTACTCTCTGTGGCTGAGAAATTAGGAAGAGAAACCCAACTGGCCCCGGGAGGGCTCTGGAGTGTCTTGACAGGCAAACACAGGGCCCCTCTCTGCGCTTCTTTGAATAACATCTGGGAAGAGCCCCTGCTTCAGCTTGTTGAGGTCTGGGGGACCTGAGCCCCTGCAGACATGCACCCTGGGGGTGGAAACTATTCTATCTAAAGTAATGAAACCCTCCACCCTCCAGCCTGGCAACCAACACAGGACTTAGAGATTCATGCATCTCGAACCCAGGAAAACGGTTGTGTCCCCACAGTCCCAGTTGTGGGGGTAAAGCTTAGGGAGAAAGCTATGGAGTGATACTGATAGTGGCACTCGGCAAGTAGTTACCCCAGCACCAGAGCAGGTGTGGAGCTGGGGCCGGTCAGACAGGCAACAGGAAGTGAGGTGCTGGGTTTGGGGCTGAGGCCCAAGCAAGGAACCTGCCAAAGGAGGGCTCGCAGCATCTGCTCCAGGACAGCTCCTCTCACCTGCCCCTTCCTGACTCTCCTTCTTCCCACCCAGGGCTCAGGGTTCCACTGGAAGAATCTCAGCCAAAGTCCTGAACAGCAGCGGTGAGTCACCATTACCCCAACCCCTGCTCTTGTCCAAAAGGGTGAGGTGCTGGGGTGGGAAAAACACGATACAGCATCTCAGCCGAGCCAGGGGAAGTCATTCTCCTACCCTTTCGGCATGGCTCCCTTGCCGGGAGTGAGGGGCAGGTGGGGGTGTGGGCTGTGTGAAGGGGGTGGCAGACGAAGGAGGTAGGGACTTTTGAGTCATCAGGTGCTCTTCAACCCACCCCCAGTCCCTGCCAGTTACCCATCCCTGGAGAGATCTGGATCTGGGAGGGGGAAGTAGGAGAAATCTTCGGGACTCCCTTGAGCCCTCTTAGTCCCAACAAACCCCGAGAGCCCAAACCGTGGCCAAGCTGCGTCCAGCTGCTCGAGACCTGGCTGCCCCTGTGTCTAGAACCTCAGTCTTCTGCTGGCCCCATCCTGTGGTGGCCTCTTAGGAAGGATCTGAGGTGAGGGCAGAAGTAGGTGCTGACTTGGGCCCCACTCTGCCCATGTCCCATCCTGATTTAGGCCTGGCTTCTTCTAAAATGGATCAGCAGCCTATGGCCTCTTGGCCAGACTGGACTGTTTGATCCTTGAGCTGAGAGTTGTTTTTATATTTCTAAAGGGTTGTAAAAGTAAAAACAAAGAACAATATATACAGAGGCTGTCAAATATTTTAGGTCTCGAAAAGAAAGGCTTAAATATTTACTGTCTGACCCGTTGCAGAAGGCAAAAGAAAATCCGAGAGCACTGGAGTAGACACAGAAGTCACCCTGCTCCCTGTCCCAGTGCATGCAGAGGGGGAAAAGGCCTGTGTTCAGAACAGGGAGGAGCTCAGGCTGGAGCTGGGAGTTGCTGCTCAGCATTTGGGGAGTACATGGGTCGGGTTGCACTCGGAGAGGCCTGGGTCTCCAGAGCCAGGCTGAGGCCATGAGGCTTGAAGGGGCCTTCAGAGGCTGCTTTAACTCTGCCTCTGGCTGAGCGGGAAGGAAGGGGGTGGGGTGGGCAGAGGAAACTCCGGGCTCCCCCAGCAGGCGAGGATCTGGAGCAGCTCCAGACCATTGTGTCCAGTGGGCAGGCCTTCAGTGCGGGAAGGGGCGGCCTCGAGGCTCCCCTCCCCACCAGCCCTCACATCTGGTGGGCTGGCCCCACCGCAGCTGGGAGGAGCAGCTGTGGTCTGGGCTGAGCCTCGTGACTGGCCTCTGGGGGTGGGGCTAGCCCTCTCCCCAAGGCTCTGGAACTGAAGACGCTCCAGGCTGGGGCTGAATTTGGAGTCTTAGCTAGTCAGTGTTCTTCTGGGGCTCACTAGAAAGCTGGGGTGTGGCTGCAGAACTCAGCTAATCCACCCACGCTGAGGGCCAGCCATCCCAGTGCCTCCCCAGCAAGAGGCTGGATGGATCATGTGGCTCAATGAAGCTGATTTCAGCTGCCTGTGGGGAAGGACATTCCGACAACCTGCGATGAATGTGACTAGTCACTGGAGGCTCTGAGCCCCTGCCTGGATGTCCCAGAGCAGAGTCCAGCATCAGTGGGGGGCCACCCTATGGAACCACCAAGCTCCTTTTAATCCTGACAGTCTTGGTGAGATGGCCCCTGTGTCTCCTGCAGGAAAGTGCTGACTTTGGAGAAGGAGGAGAACCAGACCTTCGGCTTTGAGATCCAGGTGGGAGAAGCTGGGTGCAGAGGGCAGGGAGGGGTTGGGGGGCCATTCTGAAGGATGGATGGACCCTGTCCCAACCCTGGGCTGAGGGTCCCCTTGTCTGTTATAGACTTACGGCCTTCACCACCGGGAGGAGCAGCGAGTGGAGATGGTGACTTTTGTCTGCCGAGTTCATGAGTCCAGCCCTGCCCAGCTGGCTGGGCTCACACCAGGTGGGGCCTGAGCCCAGGACACAGGGCTCTGGGAAGGGAGTGTAACCTTACTCCCAAACAGAGGGAGCAAGATATCTCTTCTGAAATCAATTCCATTCCTCTGTCTATTTTGGGAAGGCTAGAAAGAATGGGTTGGCTCCAGGTAAATTTGCCATCTTCTGTGGGATCCTGAGTAGTTGCGTCTGCAAACTGGGAGAAATACCGTGTCCTCACATCAGCGTGGTGAGGGGATTCCCTGTCACAGAGCAGGACCTGGGGAAGGGCATCTGTTGCTGCTGCTGTTGTGCCTCCTCCTGGCAGTCTGGCAATCCAGCAGGGGCAGGAGCGGGGCAGGAACTACGTTTCATTAGATCTGCTTGATATTGGGGATCGGGGCCTATCCTGCCCCCGACCTGGGCCCCGCTACTTCCTCCAACAAGGAAATGGAACCTCCAGTAGGAGACTCTGGGGATTGACCAAATCAAAAGCACCAAGTCCCAGGAAGGGGCAGCCTGAGACTGCACGAGTTGACCAGTTCTGTCTATCCGGTCCTCTCACCATTTTCTTCTCTAAGCCCTCACCTCCTTGCCCATTTACCAGCAGCCCCTGGTAGCTAAGTGGTGTATTACAACTTTGCAAAGTAAGTTTCCCATCCATTCTCCCCCCTGATCCTGCAGTAGCCATGGCAGGGGTCCACACACCCTTTTCCAGGTGGGAAATGAGCCCTCAGAGATGGTGGCTTGCCTTGCCTGAGGTCAGGAGGCTCTGCTGAGGCCCAGGGTATCAGAAGCTGAGGCCTCTTATGCCTCGGGCCCATGTCAGTACCAGCTCTGTGGTGCACACCCTGCCCCCCTTCCTGTCTGAGCTGGGTCTTATGACAACCTGTGGGCTGGACTAAAATAACCAGCTCTGGGGCAGCCCAGGCTTGCTAGGAGGGCTCAGCCTTTGGGGACAGAGCTTCCTGAGGGTGAGGTGAGGGTGTGGGTGTCCGAGGGCCCTAGCCCCTATGCTGGGGTGCTGGGCCTAGGACATGATCCCCCAGAATCATGACTCGGGGTAGGGAGTTCAGGAGAATTCTCTAGGGTTATTACCCCTACCCTCCCTGGCGAAGGTAGGGGGCTGGACTTCTCCCACATGCCCTATGGAACGGATGCTGATCCCCACTTTGCCTGGCAGGGGACACCATCGCCAGCGTCAACGGCCTGAACGTGGAGGGCATCCGGCATCGGGAGATTGTTGACATCATTAAGGCGTCTGGCAATGTTCTCAGGTACGTCCAGGTGCCACGGTCCCAGAGGGGTCCCTGAGCTCAGCCTCTCAGTGTTTCCCCGCCCTGTGGGCTCACTCAGCCTTTGACTCTCCAACCTCCTCAGACTGGAAACTCTGTATGGGACATCAATTCGGAAGGCTGAACTGGAGGCTCGTCTGCAATACCTGAAGGTAAAGCAGCCCAGGTGACATCCAGCCTCCACTCTCTTCCCACACCCCTGCCCCTGACGGCCCGACTCTTTTTAGGGGTCATTCATCTGTCTGGACCCCCTTATAACCTTAAGGTTTCTTCTGTGTATTCCCTGATCCCTCAGTCTGTAGCCACCTCCTGCTAGTTTCTTGCTTGCTCCTAACAGTGAGGTGGGGGATGTCTCTTGCAGCAAACCCTATATGAGAAGTGGGGAGAATACAGGTCTCTAATGGTGCAGGAGCAGCGGCTGGTGCACGGTGAGTAGATGAGGAGTATGAAGGGCCACTTGCGCCCCTACTCCTACCCCCATTTATGCCTCCTCTTCAGAACTAGTTGGTTTACGTCCTCCTCCAGAGTAAAGAAAGTTTCGTTGAGCTACTACTTTGGGTACAATGCTGCCCCCAGGGCTGATGAACACGCATTTTTAGCTTATTCTCACAATAGTCCTCTGAAGGAAGTATTAGAGTGCCATCTCTATTTTACAGATGGGCACACCAAGGCCCAAAGAGCTTGTTTCAGAGCCCCTCCGCGTCTCCTCCGTCATAAATGGTCCTCATAAGGATTTGGGTGTACAGTTCCTGTTTTACAGACAGGGAAGTAGGGCTGAAGGTTGTGACTTGTCCAAGGGCCACAGAGATGGTCAACAGGAAGGAG